CGACACTGTTTATCCTTCATTTAAATCCACCATAAACAATCGATTCTAAGAGAGACAGCTAGTTTTTGCACATTGGTACAAAGTCTCGTGTTTATGGTTACTTTGGGTTACTTTTTACGAGTTGCTTTTTACAGTCGAAGGGAGAAATAAGCTAAGATAGGTTTCGTTGGGTTAAGCAACTAAACGAACTTCGCGGCGATGCGTAGAGTATCGCGCAATGTTGAAGGGGCGATAGACGTAGGTCTCTGAGAATAATTTTCACTAACCTTTCACCGTGTTCAAAACCAGCGAAAACAGACGATGAGTGATGCCGGTAATTAAAAAATGTTGCATCGAACGTGCGCTTTAATACTTGGTTACCTTTAACAAATTTAATTGGTATTTTCCATGGTAGAGTAGTCTAAAGTAGTATGCGTTTAAGTCTAGAAATTCAAATATCCGATCCGTAGGTATCTCTGCAAGCCAGCAGTGAAAACATGACGATGAGGGGTGTAAAAAAAACAGTGGTGATAAAAATTAAAAGGAACTAAAGTAAAGTGGACTAAACTAAACTTAGAAGTAGTGAATACAATAATGCAGAAATAAACATGAATGAGCGAGAAGCGACGATCGAAATAAATTGCGCGTGAAATGGAATTAATCTAAGACTCAAAACAGATCTGGAAATGAGGCTGTATCGACGCACGGATAGCGTTGCGGAAACGAATTCTTCTCGGTGTAAGAAAATTGCCACCGTTGCCAGGTTTCAGGTGGAAAATTCCAAGAAATAAGCCCTGAAAGATTAGAGTTCAGCGAGAGCTGGAGATTCTCGATTTACATATTTTTGCATTTAGTTTTGTCTAAGAATAATCTCACGATAATAATCGAGTTAGGAACTTGATGAAAACTCTTTTGTTAAGAAAAAAAGCCCGTCTTATGACCCAAAAACCGGTGTGTAATTACTGCCATACTATTCAGTTCGTGTAACTGTGCTTTAGATTCTTGTTACCAAACTTTCAACCTCGCGCGGGAGTTAGCTTCTCAACTTCTAGTTGCACAAATCCCTTTGTTCGTAAGCAGCTTCGAGTTCAAGAGCTTTCTCACATCGGAAGTTGATTTTGGACAAAACTGAAGGCTTCAGCGAGATGATTATTGTAACTGATGGACAAAGGAAGTAAATAATAGACTAACTAACGGCAACCCAAGAGAGACCCTAAAGTTGGTCCATTATTTCTCCGCTTGGTATATGAGAGCCTCCCGTTTGGATCGATGGGATCGCTCCATTATCCCTCTTTGTCTATAATTTTGTCTATCAATTGAAGAATCAGCCTGGCGTTTCTTGCTTCTCGCGAAACCCTAACGGAAACTACATCGAGTGTGTTGTGACGACTTGGCGCCAGAGAGCGTCGAAGAAGCCATCAATCATTCGCCAACGTTCCGTTTAACTAATTCACGGCTGGCGAGGGGTGTGTAGAGGGGGGGGCTCTTGATTCGGAAACGGAAAAGACCCTTTATTAATCTTCATAAAGCGATCTATTAAGTTTTCCACGCTCGTGGAGGAGCATCCGACTAGGGAGCTGCTTCGATGGGAGATAAGAAAATTTGACTGGAAAATTGCAATGAAGAGGGGGGAGAAGGGCTCAAAGCGGGTCCATTGAAAATTGAAATGTCTGGGGAATTAAAGGGCTGTCAAACGCGAGATGATAGGAAACGGGCGTGTCTTGATTTTTCAGGAGCTTGGCTAACTTGACACCTCCAGGATAATCTAATTTCTTGCATTCATGAATCAGAGGTCAAATGTTCGATTCGTTTCAGTCATAGAAAATGACGGCCCTTCAGTCGTTTTTACTTTCTTAAAAAAATTATAACTTCTCGTTTCTTTCAACTTATTTATTAACATTTTTATTTTTACTTGTCGAATGTGAGCGGCTTGGAGCCTCCCAAACTAATCGAATAATCATAAAGATGTAAATAGATTAAACATTATGTTCTCTCCAGTTGTTGAAAATATACCGATTTCATTGACTGCTTTCCCAACAATTATATATTTGTTTAGTGAAGTAACTTTAAATTACTCGTAAATATGCAGACTCCATACTGAGATTTATTTTCTTTCATTTTTTGTCAATTTTCTTTAAAAAAGATGTGATTCAGATAAAGTGCAAGAAGTTTCAAGTTAAGATCGGATTCTCACGATTCTATCAAGAAAAACGGATCAAGATTTGTGGCAAGGCTTTTTTTTAAGCAACTCAGAAAAAAATTTGAACATTGATTCTACTGCAAATTGAGGTATGTGACTGAGCTTTTTCAGATCGATTACCAGAATGTGAAATCATCTAAAAGAGAATTAAGCCTAAATGGAAATTAAACCAATTTTTCCAAGTTAAAATTGCGTGTGTTTTGATCGGTATTGGAAACTAACGAGTANAATGACGGCCCTTCAGTCGTTTTTACTTTCTTAAAAAAATTTTAACTTCTCATTTCTTTCAACTTATTTATTAACATTTTTATTTTTACTTGTCGAATGTGAGCGGCTTGGAGCCTCCCGAACTAATCCAATAATCATAAAGATGTAAATATATTAAACATTATGTTCTCTTCAGTTGTTGAAAATATACCGATTTCATTGACTGCATTCCCAACAATTATATCTTTGTTTAGCGAAATAACTTTAAATTACTCGTAAATATGCAGACTTCATATTGAGATTTATTTTCTTTCATTTTTTGTCAATTTTCTTTAAAAAAGATGTGATTCAGATAAAGTGCAAGAAGTTTCAAGTTAAGATCGGATTCTCACGATTCCATCTAGAAAAACGGATCAAGATTTGTGGCAAGGCTTTTTTATTAAGCAACTCAGAAAAAATTTTAAACATTGATTCTGTTGCAAATTGAGGTATGTGACTGAGCTTTTTCAGATCGATTACCAGAATGTGAAAACATCTAAAAGAGAATTAAGCCTAAATGGAAATTAAACCAATTTTTCCAATTTAAAATTGCGTGTGTTTTGATCGGTATCGGAAACTAACGAGTAAAAGTTATAGAAAGAGTAAGAGGATATTAGTGAAAGAAAGAACGAGACACAGAGCAGGCATAAGATGCAAGTTTAAAAGGCGACAGATATTTGCGAACTTAAGGCATAAACTTATAAGGTGATGATAGTTGAGAAGAAAGCCTAATTCAATTATTTTATTTGAGCCCCTTCCTTCTTTGAAAATGAACGCAATCAGTTACACGCCTGGATAATAGGTCTTAAAATTAGAGATAAAAATATCTATTAGATTGTAGATTCAATTCTTGCGGACAATTTCAACTGAAATCCTGGCATTCAAACAACCTCTTATGCCAATTGGATTACATTTTGCAATAGGGAACCACTATTTCCGGCCCATTTTAGAAACAACACACATGCCATTCATTCCCCTGTGCAGATATGTGGTTTTACGAAAGAGCCAGAGATAGCGGTTCCTTATTGCAAAATGTAATCCAACTGAAGAACCGAAACGCACGATGACCGAGGTAAAAAAAATAAATCCGATGAAAATGTCTTTAAAGTAATGCCTAAAAATAAAAAAGAACAAAATTAAAGCATAAAACGGCGCTAAACTAGAAACAAAACGCAACATGAAATTAAAGATGTTAGTAAGAAAGCTGGGGGGAAAACAGGGTCACAAAATAAATAAAATATGGTAAGGAACTCCAAACAAGCGGTCTCTAAGTAGCAGCGGGCAAACAGCGGTGAGCAACACGACTCGAGCGAACGAACAATCAGGGATGCAAAGAACGGGGGGGGGGAGGGATTCAGGGAATTCAGGGATGCAGGGACGCACCGAACCGTTCCAGTGATACTATTAAGAAGCGGCGGGAAACGGATTTGCGGCGAGATAAGCTAAGTGCTCGCCCTCAAAAACGGTGTTTGTGATACTGAAATACGACAGGAAGATACGCTCCTCGCTCAAAGTTTTCCGTTAAAAAAAATAGCAGTGGAAAATTACCGAGAATGACGTCGATTTCTTCGATAAGGACCAATGAGAACCCTTCTCTCAGGGTTCGATGGGCCACTAGACTAAGACTGAGCAAAAAAATGTACCACGATTGTTCTCTGCAAGGAGCGCATCTCCTGAACAAGATATTGCCAAATATTTTTGACACGGATGGAATGGAAGGTAGATCGTACGAATGAAGTTATTCGTATTGTTGCCATTTGACCTTGGTAGACCCTTATATCTGATTTGAGAGTTGATTGAGAGCTTTAAGAGTCCAGACTCTTAAAGCCGGCGACAAGAAACTGTTTCTTGAACCAAGAGGTTTTTTTTTTAGCAGTGGCGGGGAAAATCGGGAAAATCCTGATACTAGACACCCTGTTTTGAGAAGAAATTATGTTGCGAGGTGCTTTAATTTTATACCTTTTCTAGAGGCTTAGTTTCCTTACCCAATACCCATATCACTAAAATGTTTAGTTTTTCAGAGCATATGCTGTATATAGTTACAATCTAAATTGTTTTATCAACCGAGCTCATTTCTTTCTCTTCAATTTATTATATTTATTTAATCTATTTTTTTACCTATGTTTCTTCTACGAAGAACGATGCGTTTTATTTGTTAACGGAAAATTCCTCACACAGAGACGGAAGTCACTACAGTTATTGAGGAAGTACGATATTATGACTGGAAGTCTACAACTCAGCGGACCAATAAACCTGGTTTTCTAGTTTTACCGCCTAAATGTGGGCACGCTGTGAGAAAAGGTGTCACGCAGGGGTTCGAGCAACTATTCGAACTCAGCGGTCGTGATTTTGCCTACACGGAACATTGAAGGAGTTGTGTCCGCGCCGAAAAAAAAGGAGCAGAGTTTCTCTATTCAACTGGTCTAAGGATAGCGGAAAACTAGCGGATATCACTGGAATGGCAGGGCGCCTAGAAAAATGGAGGGGTGGGTAAGAGGATAGGGATGAAAGGTGGGTAAAAAAGGGGGGACGCCCCTTGGGGGTTGGGGGTGAGATGGGTGGAAGGGGGCCAGACCTGAAGCACTTTTTTGGGGAGCGTTCGGTCGTCCTCTTCGGTGATCTGGGTGCGGTAGGTGGGTCTCTCGAAGACGGGCGGATTGTCGTTCACGTCTTTGACGTGGATCACCACTTTCGTCGAGTTCTCCTTGAGGTTGTCCGACGCGGCTAGCATCAGCTCGTACTAGAACCATCACCAGAAAAACCCCGGTTAGTCAAGCCACATTTAACACTCATCAATCAACCTCCGCAAAGCCAACTTCTTCTCGAGATTCGGGACCTGAACCACTCCTTAAGTTGGAGGTCGTATTTATGGTCGTTCTTAGAGGTCCAGGTGTGGAAACTAGTACCAAACCTCGAAAAAAATTCGCTTACAGAGAATCAGATTTGACACATGACGTCACTAAGGACTCCGAGAGGAGTAGGGAATGGGAAAAAAAGCCCCTCTGTAATTGACAAATTAAGCCCTCAAGGCATTTTCGTAGGAAACATTTTATCACGCGTCCAACGGGCTTAGCTCAAATTTAAGTGCAAGGGAAAATTAGTCTATGGGTGATATAAAGAAAAGGGGTTTCTTTCTCTTTTTGTGTCAAACCTGATTTACTAAAGTCCAAATGTGTTTAGTCCATTTAAATTTACCATGGATCGAATGGCAGGCTATAAGTATTCGTGAAAGGGTTGGCATTGATGGATAGAATTCGTGATATAGATAATCCTAAGGTTGAGGGAAGTTTTACAAATGTTGAGTCACAATGAATATTTTAGGTATGAAATATGATGTACTTGTGACAGGTGAAATGATCTCTCATAATTGACCTGATCAGTCGAGCTATTTAACCAGTGCATGCTTCGAATGATTCTTAAGCTTCGAAAAATCTGTGACTCATTTGAACAATTTGTGAGAAAAATTTCAAACTGTAAACTTCTAATGTCTTGAAAGAAAACAATTACGAAGTAATTGAAATTCATGGTTAGTATACGAGTTGAGTTTGAGAATTATCCAGGATATTTAGGATTTAATCTTAACGAATGTTTAAAAATGTTTAAAATTAATTTGTAAAGATCCTCCAATTCGATCCACATAACAACGGGCAAATACGTAAGCAAAACAGTTAACAGTATAACAGAACAGTTATCGGCGGTGTCCATTGCAGCTGAAATAAATAGGTATATTAGTACTGTAGTTTGATTGGAAGCACGATCGCAATTCTAGATGCCGATAATGAAAATCAAACATATCCTGGAAATAGTCAAAAGAGTATTAGAAACTTAAAGCGTGCTAATCATGGATCGACACATAGAGATGAAAAACATTTAGAACAACATAAATGGTATGCAGCTTTGCTGATGATTAGCGGGAGAGGAATGTCATATTATACTAATAGTTATAGGTCAGCGATATGATTAGTTACAAAATATGAGAGACAAAAGCTATTCCGTTTGAGATGACGGATAACCGGGGACTGCTAAAATCCTGGAGGGCTGAAAGAGATGGATTATGTTTTTATCATTACACAGGTTGACCAGCAAGCTGATTCTTGAAATGGACGGACAATATTAAGAATTTTACGACATGGAGCATTAATTTAGACATTAATGACACACTTCAAGAATAACGAATCATGCAAATGCTTTTACTGTTCATCAGTTAGGAGTGAAGTTAATTTTAAAAAATAAAGAAATCCGACACAGTAACCAAAAGAGAGTAAGAAAGGGAATTAAAATTTCCTAAAAAGATAAATATTCTAAGGATTGTCACAGACTTTAGAAAATTTAATTCCCTGACATTTTCTTGATTTTTCTAACGAATTCTGGAGAAATTTCCTGATATTTGAAGATACGCCAAACGGAAAATTTGAAGCAGTTTTTTTTTTTTTTTTTTTTTTTTTTTTTTTTTTTATTTCAAAGATAAGATAAGATATAATTATTTCAAAATGTAAGGCATAAAAGAAAGAAGAAAAAAAAACAACACTCTACCCGGGAAATTAAGATACGTAATTATTCTGCCCGATCAGACGTAAAAATAAATACAAATGATAAAAATACAAAAAAAAAAGTGATAAAATAAATACGGTGACATAAGTTAAAACTAGAGTACGACACGAAAAATTTCGGACGAAATTTCTTGTTCAAAACGGCAAACCGATTCTAGAAAGCAAATTATGGTGACTTGAAAATTTTACTTTTTACTTAAAAATAGTAAAGGTCAACGAGTTTTTAGGCTTCATGATGCTCTTAGGGCCGTAAATAAACAAACAAGATGGCGGCTCACCGTAACATCGATGAGAAGCTTTTGACAAAAATTTCAATTATGCGGCAGTAACAATTTAAACGAGCATATCTACGAATAGCACACGAAAAACACATGAAAACATTGTTAAATTTCCTTTCACCTTTATCACAGGAGGATGCAAGATGTGCATAACCTTAATCTTGCTTGCTGATAACGGCCATCTTGTTTGTTTATTTACGGTCAGCCTATTCGCTCGCGACCAATGAAAAACCGGAACAGAAATGGCCATACTCTGTCTATAAAGGTACTCTAACTATTTTTTGAGGGCACGACAACAGAGCATCGCGCTTCCTAGACTGTAAATCTTCCGACAAAAAGGGCGCCCGTGAGCGGGGGTGGGGGGGAGGGACGGGCGTTGCGCGGGGAGCTCCTAGACGCTGGGAGCTGCAATAAAAGGAGCTCCCCAGAAATAAAAGAAAATTGATCATTAATAATAACAGCACTGTTTGCTGGATGGGGTCGCGCCGGGTAAACAAACCCCTCCCTCGACCCGACGCACCCCTAACTTTCGGTTTGCATTTTCGGGGCTTTGTGTCGCGTTGGGTCACACGCAGCGCCGCACAGTGGGACGAGTCATTGAAAGAGGTCGGGCGTAACATTATTGGCTAAAACTGTGAGATTTTGATACTAATTCCGTCGTGAAATGAACTTCAAGAGGGGCTTCAGGGGGAAAAATGTACGGCGAAACCGATGAAACTACTTTAAAACTTTACGCTCAATTTTAAATAACAGTTTTTACTAAAAATGTCGGATTTTGGTGTCATGAAATGAACTTAAAGGGGAGCTTCGGGAGGGAAATTCTACGGGTGACCCGCTTCAATGGATAGGATCGCTCGCTTTTCCCTTTGCTTTCTTTGTCTATTGCTGTGTCTATCAATTTCAACGAAGCCGTAGACCATAGGCGAGCCGGAGCTCTAGCATTTTCCGCACCCCTAATGAACACCCCCCCCCCCCGGTCAAGAATACATTAAACTCGAAGTTTTCAAACATAGTTAATTACGTTCTTTCCGCTCTAAACAACAGATATAAGTAAGCAAAAGGCTTTTCGAGCAGTGTTAAAACCTCTTAAGTGGCACGTCGATTATAAATCATGAGTTATCTGTAGAGCGTCGTCGATGCAGTCGGTCTCGAATTGCTTTATCTTCCCCGTTCGTGACCCAAGGCAACAAGGTTGCCGGATTCTCCAAAAAATCAGGCGAGGAGATTGATCAGAACCGGTGGCGAGGCGTAAATGATCGATTTTCGAATCTCCCCATGATCACCTATCAAGAATTATCATAACAAAGAAGACTATTTATCATTGGTGGGTCCAGCAACGTGGAAACACTGTTTTCTCTCCATTTAAACCTATAGAAATGTATCGATTCTCAGAGGGGCCATGTGCTCCGACAAGAATCGATTACTAACACCTGTTTAAATGGAGGGAATGTCTGTTTGCCAACACATCCTGGATCCGCCTAAGACGTCTGTAAATAAGAATAACTGAAAGGAAAGAAACTGGTTAAGGAGCGGGTCCGTTTAAGCGGGGGAAAATATTGAATTTTCGGCACCACTTGGCAACAATGCGCGGGAAAATTCCAAAAACGGGGGGAGGGGGCGGAGGCGCCTCGCGGGGGAGCCGATGAAAAGGAGAGCGGAAAAGTGTGTGATTTAATGGTTCGGAAAATATTTCCAAATCTTTTAATGGAATAATTTGTATGCAAAGAAGCCGTTGCACACATCGCCAGGCGCGGCTGTCGCAGCGGAACCCTCACAACGTCTTTCTCTTGACAAAAAGACGTAACGTTAACCGTAAGAAGCGCGGGACTGTACGGGCAACGGAATACACTTACGTCATTTCGTCAACGGAGTCCTCGTCGTAATGCCCGAATTAATATCCACGGTTCGTTTGGGATGCCGACGACTTCGAAGTGGGACTATTCTCGTGAAATGACGATTTCTATCTTTTTGAGACGCATGTTCCGTCGTGCTAAGGAAGAACGCCGTATGATCCTTCAGACATTGCGTTATTTTCTTCAACAAAAGCACACATTTTCGGGAAATGTTTTGAGTGTTTTTCATCCAATTTTTCAGGGAAAGTCATTCGTAATTTGATCTGAGTAGCCTGACAATTTGAAGAAAAAATATACATAACTTTCATCAAATATAAATATTGTCTGTGAGGAAATTTGGCAACATTTGAATGCTCTTACGACGATTTTCCTTAGCACGGTAGTGTTGGTGTCGAGAGGATCTTTCGTCGGGTTTCGCCTTGTACTTTTTCTCATCGAAACCGGATACTTTATTGATTCGCTTAAATCGTAAGTATACCCATGATTAAGTTATGTAAAGCACTGAAACATTGTTTGAAATTGCCACGCGGAATGAAGAACAAGCAGGAAGCTCCAACGCATTCGCGTCGGAAAGCGGCTCTGGCGACGGTAGGTAGTTGTTACGCGTTTACGGTTTCCTTGGTAACCTTTGTTTGCTATCAGCTGATGTCGAGTAGTATGACTAGGAAGCTCCAACCACGGCATTCTTCGAAAAAAGCGCGAAAACTTATAGATTTGAATTTTCAAATTTTAAACGTAAAGTACATTTTTTCCAGTGCGAGATTAAAGCACAGACCCGTTTTGAATTATTGACAGTATCACCATGATTCCAAAAATACACTACACAACATAGCATTCGCTCACAGGAAAAAGATATCAATTAAAATAAAATCAGTCCCCCCTAAACAGCAGAAAATGGCGCCGATTCCCATCAACCAACACGCGGTCTCTCCAATGTAACATGGTCCGTTGATACTCCCCAGCTGGGACCGTCCGGAATAGCAGCTCTAGTGCAAGCACCAGAGCCGCTAAAAATCGGTAGAGATGAAGGAGAGCAATGGTAACTTTGCGTTGGGAGTT